TGAAAGATTAACATACTATAGAAAAAATTTTTATTTAAGGTGATTTCAAACTGATTTCCTTATATTCAGAAACATCCAACAAATTAACTAGAAAAAAAATGTTAATAGGGAAAAATGTGAAAAAGCATATACAATTAATGCAAAGTATGTTACTTGCATGGAGGAAGCTTTAGCCTCACTCGAGGGAAGAACATCAAGGCTGTCCTGAAGGCTCGTCTTCCCCTGGGCTCCCTGTCATCTGCCATTGCCCAGTGGGTCCCTTCCTAGGACCATGGCAGGGGCAGCTCCCTTGGCCCTTCAACCCAGTGGTAGTGACAGTGGCCACTGCCCCGGCGCTGTACCACGGGAAAAGACAGCCTGCTCCCAGGGACAGTTGAGGAGTGAGTGCCGTCCTCGAGCTGGGGCAGGCGCTCAGGAGGCTGCTAGCCAGAGTGTAAACTACTGTGCTGCAGGGGGGTGAAGTGGTTTGGTCCAGAAACTCCATGTTGAGAGTTGAGCTTGGCATGAACACGCCTGCACTGTACCTCCTTGCAGTGTGGCCACTTCTAGTCCACATCTGTGTAAGCACGGGTTCCATCTGTAGGGTGCAGTCAAGTCAAGGCGCAATGGTGACCACGAGGATTGGGACTGCCTGCCCTGGTAGAATGTGGAGTTGAGACCTTCTGTTACATGGATCCTGTTTAACTGTGAGCTGTGCCAGTTTGTGTTATGAAATAGGGACAGTGGCTGCCCCCACAGTAAGGATAGGGATGGGGAGCAATATTTTGTACACTAATCTAGAAGAGAATTGTCATGTGAAGAGGGAAGAAGTAGAAGTTGACTTTGGAGTTGGTGTCTTTGGTTTTATCAGTTGGCCATAGTTTGGCTGGGGGGCTTCCCCCTCATGTGTGCTGGCAGCTGGGCTTTGTCCCGTCTGCTGTGTGTGCATGACCTGGAGTCTGACCTTCACGTCGGCAGAGCAGGTGCCGTGACTCTTCGGCTTATGTTATCACATGGATCCCCTGCTACATGTAGCCTGTGGCAGGGAAGAGGGTCTGAATTTGGGGTACCTTCCCACGTCCCCAGTCTTGGAGAGGAAGCAGTGGGTGGTAAGAGGGTGCTCTGCGATGGGACAACCCCCTGTGCCCTCAGGAGAAGTGTCTAGAGCTGTCTGTCCCTGCACAGCTTCAGGCCATCTGTATGTCCATCCTGGTTTCCCTCCCAGCTGTGGAGTAGGTGGCAGCTGCTAGCATAATCTGTGTCCATGGCTCAAAGGGGCCAAGGCCTGTGCCCTGCCCCCCAAGTAAGCTCACACTCCTGCAGAGAACAACCTGCCCCCAGCACGGTGCAGGGGCTTCATGGCAGAAGGCCCACTGTGGAATGACAGTACCAGGTACTGTCACAGAGGTATGCAGTGTCCTTGTGTTTATTCTGAATTCGACTGACCTTTTGTATTTATTTAGGTACCAGGAATCAAACTCAGGGTCTCGCACTTGCCAGGCAGGCGCTGTGCCGCTGAGTTATATCCCCAGCCCTAACCCCTTGTTTTAAACAAGACAAGATGACCACTGTCCCCATTAATTAATTTAAAACAAGGAACAGCAAATGCTAGGCACCACGGTGCCAGCCTATAATCTCAGCTGCTCCGGAGGCTGAGGCGGGATGATCACGTGAGCCCCAGAGTTTGAGGCCTGCCTGGGGACATAACAGTACCCCTTCTTCAGGAAACAAATGAGCAAGTGCTGCCACATAAGACAGATGCCTTTCTTCTCATGGACCTGCTTCCCAGCCAGGGCAGCTCTGGCTGCCCATCCTGTGAGAGAGACTTCCCTTTCCCTGCACTGTGGTGGAGCAAGGCCCACGCAGGGCGGCGCCCCCTTGCGTCTGACCCGGAGGAGCAGTGCTGGGAGTGGTAGAGACAGATGTTTCCCCGGCCTGTGTGGTGACAAGTGGCTATGTGAAATGTGGATCCTTGAGGGTACCAGGGGAGGAAAACAAGGATTTTGTTTCTCAGAAAAACATGAAATAAATGCCCTTGCACGAACAGGAACTGTCTAGTGGGCTGTCCGCCTCACGCAGCATCTTTGTGATGTCTTTTAAACATCCTGTCACTGAAGCACTGCAGTGCGTTCAGCGCTCTCAGATGAAAAGGCCTCTTGTTGCCCACTGCCCCTGGAGGCGGGCAGGCGGGGGAGTTGCCATCCTTCCTGGATGCCATGTTTGCCGGCCGGGGTCAGAAGACTGGCTCTCTTATTAGGCATGACAGTCCACTGCCTCTGACGGCGGAAGTGGAAATGCTGACCTCATGGTGGTGGTGAAAGAGCCCCTTTGATGAAGCGCCTCCATCCCAGTGTGGCCTGGCTGCTCCTGCCCACCTGGGGCTGTGTCCTTCTCTGAAGTAGACCCAGGTATATGCCTTGTTGTTTCCATGTTTGTAAATAAGATGAGGAAAAGTGCAAAAAAAAGGACACCAGGCAAAAGCCTCCATTCCTAGAATCTTAAAAAGCATTAGTGTTCTCCTCTGACAGGCTTTGGAGGGACAGGCAAGCCATGGGCAGGCTGTGGCGTGAGCAGGCCACACAAGCACTTGGAAGCTGACAACCTTCTTCCTCCCTGTGCTGATGGGAGAGGCACTGCCCTGAGCTGGCATGGTGGGGGTCCGAGTACTCATTGCCTTCCCTGTCTGTCCAGGTACAGGCAGCTCTGGTTACTACAGAACTTACTGACCAGAGCAGCTGTGTGGAGCAGAAGGTGGCCCGAGCTGAGCGCTGGCAAAGAGGCAGATTGAGGCAGTGAGCGAGTGGGCACGGGGTTTCTCCTGCCCACACTCAGTTCCTTGAACCAGCACTCTGGCTTGGGATCATTGCTCCAGCAGTGTCCTGTAGCGGGCAGAACACTGTTCACTTCTTCTCTCTGCTTGGGTTAGTCGATGAGCTGTTCCTTCCCTTTTATGGTCTGTTGTTGAGGATGGAAAGATTTCATCTCTGGGGCCAGATTTCCTCTTGCCATGGGATCAGGGGCCATGGGCTTGTTGCCCTCCACCCCTGAGGCTCCCTCAGGACTGTGCCAGCCCACGACCTGGGCACCATCTTTCCCAGGCTCCTGACCTGCTGCCTGCAAGCAGTGGGGTCACCCAGTGGCCTAGTGGAAGCATTCTTTACAAAGATTGTTTCATTCATTCATTCATTCATTCATTCATTCATTCATTCATTCACACATCAATCTTTTTTTCCCCCTGTATTTTCTAGGAAAGGGTCTACAAAGGGTGTTTAGGGTCTCATTACTGGATCGGACTCTTGTGATTGTCCTGTTCACAGCCTCCTAAGAGCTGGGATTACAGGCCCACCCACCATGCCCAGTCTCAATTACCATCTCAGTGTGCCCCAAGGGGCGGGACTGGCACGGCAGGCTGGGGGATTGAACCCCCAGCTCCTGCGCTGGCTTGCTGGTGCTTTAATCCACTGAGCTATTTGGCTGGCCATTATACATAAATCTTCTTACAGTAAGTTGAAGGAAAAATCCAACCAAGTAGGTAGACAGTGATATAATTTGCAGGGATCTTAGCCAAAATGCTGAAATTGTTTCCTTTTTTTTTTTTTTTTTTTGCTTCAAATGGATCACAAAAAAGTATCTCCCTCTTTCAAAAGCAGTAAAAATAGGGATGCGAAAGGCTTTTTAAAAACATGCCTCTCCCCCCTGTGTGTGGCCAGTCTTTTTTAAATTTTTTTTTTTTTTTTTTTGAACCAGGGGTTGAACTCAGGCCCTTGCGCTTGCCAGGGAAGCGCTTATTCCACTGAGCCATCTCTTCGGCCCCTGTGTGGCCAGTCTTGAAGCAGTAGTGGAGCAGGGTGACAGGCTGCTGGCTGGTGGGACTAAGGGGGCTCCGCCCAGAGTCCCACAGAATTTCTTGGTGAAGAACAGGCTTGCAGCACAGAGAGCTGCTCTGGCCCTCCTGCAGGGGATGTGCTGTCCTTGACCCTGGTGACTCTGCCTGTCCAAGAACGCTAACTGGAATAAAACTCGCCCACAGTGTCTAGATTTGGAGAAAGGGGCAGGTTCTTGGCAAATTCAGGCAGGTATGCCTTAGTAAATTGTATTATTTATTTTTGAATTTTTGAGACAGGACCTCACTTTTTTCTCTTAGGCTAGATTCAAACTTGTGATTCTCCTGCCTCAGCCTCCAGAGTGCTGGTGTTATAGGTAGGTGCTACTGCACCTGGCCAGTAAGCTCTGCCTGTCTCTGCCTACCTTACTTAGTCATTCTCTGCCTCTCTGGACCAAGAATTAAACTCAGAATGTAATTCGTACTTCACTGTATTCCCCAGCTCTTTTTCCATTTTTTGTTGAGATGAGCTTTTGCTAAGTTGTCTAGGCTGAACTTGAACCTGAAACCCTCCTGTGTCATCTTCCCAGAGGATGTATGTCTTTTGAAAGAATGATAATCTGCTTCTAGCTTGTGTGCTTCTGGTATGTTGTGCTCGAGGGTGCCATGCTGCAGGAGCTGTGAGTGTCCTGTTCCAGCTTCCTGCCCAAGCTGTAAGAAGGGCTCCTTGGCTCCTTTTGAGATCAGAGAGCAACATCTTAACTTTACTGCTTTTATTGTTACAACCAGCCTTGGACCAGCCACTGTTACCAGAAATGAAGTGGTCAGAGTTGTGACAGGAGCCTCTGAGGACAGTGCCCTGTGGGAAATCCTGCCACCAGGAGCCTAGCTGCGGATGTGGCTCGTATTTCCCAGTCCAGTCTTGCATTTATCAGTTGCTTGCAAAGTGGTTTCTAAGATGTTAAAGAGCCCAGCTGAAATGTATCTTTTCCCCAGTAAAGTTAACTATGAGTCTTCCCCTTTAGAAATTTGTATCTTCTTGAAAAAGAATCTAAACTGCAGTGCACAGCTACACATGTCAGCAGTGCTGGCACACTTCTGAGAGTGGCCGGGTGGCATGCCAAAGTCTCTTTCTCATTAAACTCACCAGCTGTGGGACCCGCTGGCTGCTCTGACCTCGCTCTCCCTCCTCCCCAAGGTCCGCCATCGGTGGTGCGAGCTCATCATTAAGCACAAGCACACGAGCGCGTATGGACATGTGGAGCGCTTCCTGCAGGAGGACCAGGTGAGGATTCTTTAGGTGCTGGCCCCTGCCTGCCCCTGTTGGCATCCTTCACAGAAAGAGACCCAGGTTCTTGGCATCTCTCTGAGAACATCTACATCCTTTCCAAGAGGTCGGAGGGCTGGGGAGCATCTCAGGTGCTGTCGCTCTTTGGAGCTGATGTCCCCACCCTGTGCCCCTGTACAGTGGTGAGTTCTGTGCAGCAGACGCCCCTGTGGGCTCACTGCCCATGGCCCATTGAGTCACCTAGGGAGCTCTCCAGAGGCTCTCGGTCTCATCCTCCAAGCCCTGCCATAAGCTTGCGTGCAGGTTGGTGTGGAAAGCCCAGGCTGATGACTGCCAAACCCTGAACTCCATCCCCTTCCTGCAAGAACTTCCTCCCAGGCAGTGGTCACCTGACCTGGTGCCCACTGGCAGTGTGTGTGTTAGGGTTATTTGGGGATATGCTTGTTGACCACTGTGATATCCACTGGACGCAGTGGTGACGTCACTGCTAGGGAATCTTATGTGACCCCACAACACCCCGTTACCCTGCACGCCTCCCTGCCAGCTTGTGCCTCTGAAGGAGCAGCCTGCCAAGGCTGTGGGATGCCAGAATGGAGTTGTGCTCAGTGGGGGTGGAGGAAGAGGGTGGGACAAACAAAAGGACCTTTGACAGGGTCTGGGGCAGGGGGCAGCCAGTGAGCAAGGGCTAGTTATTCCCACACAGAAAAGCACATGACTTTGTAGCAGCAGAAATGTCACATTTGCACAGTGGAGCAGGAGGCATTTGGAGAGGCAGATGGGACCACAGAAGAACCAAGCTCGAGAGCACCTTCAGGTCTGTTTCGAAGACCGGAGATCACTGAGCACACTTAGAACCATGCTTTTTGCCTGCAAGGATCACCACATCTGAGCTTTGTCAGGAAACACTTTGGAATCCCTAACTGCTGAGTTTTCTTCTTGTGCTGCCTTTGAATCCCTTCTTTTAATTTGCTCCAACAGAACGTGACCCTCAGAGTAACTCAGCCTGGAACAACAAAGCAGGCAGAACCAAAGGAGTCCTTTAGTCTTGCAGAACATGATTGGCTGTCTTTAAAATGTAAGAAAAGTCTAGATGTGAGTCTTTGCAGCATTGTTCTCAAAACAGAGAAGCCAGTGTCTGTTGCAGTTAAGGCTGTGGCAGGAAAGTGGCCAGGGTAGGCAAAGGGACAGACATCCTGTGGTTCCTGCCATGAGATGTGATCTTTGTCATCCCAGGGGGTGACAGGCTGCTTAAGGGAGGGGTGTCAAGCAGCCCTAATGCACCCTTTCCCAGGAAGGAGCCCTGAATCCCTCCAGTAGTTACCTGGCTCTCCGTGCTGGTCACTGTAGGCACGCTGGCTCTGCCTTGACATTCCCGACACAGGTATCCCTCTGACCCCAGGGACGTGGCCGGAATCTGTTGACAGACTCGATAGCTCAGAACTCCATTGGATTTTCATAAGAACATAGAAGGAACAGGCATTGGGAGCTGCAGGTCCCAGAGGTCTTTTCTTGGTTCTTTTGTTTCCTGGAGCAACAGGTTTACGGGAAGCAAGCACAGACTGTGTCCGCATGCGTGTGTGTGAGACAGAACTCCCTTTCTTAACTCTGTCCTTCCTGCCTCTGTGCCCACAGGCAATGGGTGTGTACCTCTACGGGGAGCTGATGGTGGGCGAAGATGCCAGGCAGCAGCAGCTTGCCCGCAGGTGCTTCGAGCTGGTCAGGGGCCAGATGGACAGGTCCTCGGCGGAGGTGGTGGCTGAGATGCTGTTTTAAAGAGGTGATTCTCTCGCTTTCCTTTCTCTGCATGCAGTTCTCACAAGATGCCCTTTTAGGAGATGAGCCAGGAAGAGCCCACTGCAGTTTCAGTCCCTGCTCCCTGTGGGGCTGTGTGGGCACCTGGGTGAGCAGGCAGAATGGAGGCGGGGGCCAGGCGTTCGTGGCACGGCAGGGGCAGTAGTGCTCTGGCAGCATTTTTGGTCACCTGGGCTTTGTAACTTGTTAGGGGGAAATTTGTGGGGGACCTTGTGTAAGTGTGGAGATGCAACAGGAGCCCCAGCAGAAGTCCCACCTGCAGTCTTTAGGGTCAAGGCAGGTGTGGGAGTCTGTCCCTGGCTGTGTGTAAACTTGGGGTGCCTTGGGGCATGTCCCCCTGGCCCAGCCAGTATGCACGGTGTTGCCCACTAGCTGACAGCCTATGCCTGACGGCAGGTCTGTCTTCTCTCTTTGTTGGAGAACAGTTTTCTTCCTGGCCTAATGGAAGTCCTGGAGCACCATAGTGCTTCCTCTGCTATAGTACTGCAGATGGACCTGTTAGATTGATTTCTGAGCAGATGGTTTTTAAATGTAAGTTCTGTACTATTAAGTATGAAATTTAGCAGTGGTTCATAAAGTGTTGTTAAATTATACTGTGAGATTACTGCGTTTCTTTCCTCCAATAATCCTTATGTCTGTCTTAGTTATTTTTTCAAGGTTTCACATGATGTAATGTCCAGTGTTGTATTCTTTTTTAAAAACTTAGTGTTAGATTTCAAGCATTTTTCATGTTGTCGCATACTTTGTAACTTTAATGACTGTGTAGTATTCAGTGTTTGACTTTGTTGGAGTGTTTGCCTTTGTTGGATACGTAGTGTACCAGTGTACCTCTGAGGTTTCGCTGTTACAAAGCTCATTTCTGTCTACTATGTTTAAGGGTCTTATTTGTCCACAAGGACTTAATGAAGGACACCAAGCTTTTCTGCAATCCAACCGTGCTCTTCAGAGGAGCCTGGGACTGTGTTCTCAGGAAGAAGGGGCACTGGGGACCATGGGGCTACTCCAAACTGGGAGGGAGGCAGCTGCGCCAGGCGCATCCCACCCTTCTAGAAGTAGCAATTTAACCTTAGAAACAGCTCTGCTCACTGGTCACCCGTCACCTGTAGTGATCCGCATAAATCATGCTTCTCTTGTGATTTTTAATTTCATGGAAGGTTTGTGTTACCTGGTGTATGAAAACTGCTACAAGGGCCCCTGTTCCTTTGATCATTCCCTGGTGCCACACTGGAGCACCATGGAGGCTCATGTGAATCTTATGTTTGGTTTTTTTTGTTTGTTTGTTTTTGTTTTTTTTGTTTTTGCCCCTGAGCAGAAAAAAGAGTTGTCCCAGTTACCTCCCAGGAAAGCCTGTCATTTCCTCCCATTCCCCTGAAGTTTTGTTTCTGTCTGCCGTTTCAGCTGAAGGCAGGGTCACAGCCTCCCCCACCTTCTGGGGAACAGAGACAAAGACTGCTCCTGAGCCCCCTCCAGCAGGGAAACTTTCCCCACCTAAGCTGGCCCCAGGGAGGTCCCAGACCTAGTAGAATCCATGTGGTGAGAGGCATGTGTGTCCCTAAGGGTTCAAGGGCAGGGACATGGAACGTGGACAGCCCTCTTGGGTCATTCTCTCCCATGGCCAGTGGGCACCTTGCATGTCCTGTTGCAGAGCTGCTCTGTTGTTTCTAGGCTAATCTCTGAGTGCTTTGGATCCGAAAATGCTAGGATGCCAACTAAGTGATGCCCATGGGGCCAGCCTGGAGGCGGTGGGCGTGCAGGGCGTGGTGCTGCTCCTGAGTGCTCTGGCTGCTTGGGTTCCTGGCATGCTGATTTGTGACTTAAGATTAAAATCACATTGCCAGGGATTACCACGCAACCACGACCTTGGCTGCTCCTCTCGAAACCGAAACCACAGTTCCCCTCTCTCTGCAGTGTGGAGAACAGCTATATCTTGTAGCTCTTTGGAAACAGAAGCCAAGGACCACGGAAGATGCTCGCCAGCCCTTTAACTATGCCCTGCGATGACCTCTCTAGCAAGGTGCAGAGCTTAGCTGATTGGTGAACAGTGATTGGTTTCCGCTTTGTTCACAGTGGCTAAGTTCTGCACCTGGGGAGAAGGTGAGATGGGGACATTTAAGTTGGAGCTGCTGGGCAGAGGCCACTGCTGACGGGTGGTCCTGCGGAGCGGCTGGTGCCATGCGGGCACAGCTCTGGCAGAGGAGGCCGGCCCGCCCAGGACACACCGTGTCCTATGAGAAGTGTGCTCTGGGCACTGGCTCCCCTCAGCGCGTCTTCGGAACAAACCCACAAGCCAGACGTCTGTCTGGAAGGTTGAATATACTGGAAATTGCAAAAATTCTCCTTCAAAAACTGAAGCCAAGCACATCCAAGAAACTGAGTGAAGCCATATGACGGCTGATTGCTTGTGGGCAGGGTGGGTTCTGTGTCACTTCTCAGGCCCGGTGAACTCTCTCTTGTATTTGCAGCCCAGGTGTCACGTCCCCCAGTCGCTGGTGGGACCATGCTGAGCCACACCCCAGCTGAGGCACTGCTTCTCCGGCTGTCGTTGGACCCGCCCTCCGGTGCCTACTGAGCTGATATCAGTTCTCGTTGTACACACTGGCTCAGTTCAGCAGGAACAGGAGTCGAGCCCTTGAGCAAAGCCTCCCGTCTGCGTGGCCGCGGCTGAGGCCGGCCAACTGTCCTGGAGGAAGCAGCAGACCTGCGCCAGTGTCCATCTGTATGTGCTCGAGTGATGTGGGGATCCGTAGATTTGTAAAACTAACAGCATGAAAGGATTGTGCTCCCACTTTCCAAGGCAGAGTACAGGCGCGCTGTAGCTCCGTGTTTGTGTTGGTCCATGTGTGGTGGAGGCAGGGCTGTCTCTCCTTGTGTGGGGTTTTGGCTTCTGAAAGCAGCTGGAGCAGTGAGGGCTAAAAGGAGTCTCTCTCTCCCTGCCTTGTAAATGAAGCCTCTGCCACAGCCTGCTGGGATCCGTGGCTGTGCTGAACTGCAAACCCCTGGGGGTTCTGAGATGTGGCCCGGGTCTCATCCTTATCCTGTGATGAAAGTCCTCTCCAAAGTGGAGAGCAGAGGCCCACAAAGGTACTAGTTTACAAGAATTCCTCCACAGTGACCGGGTAATAAATTTTATTGCTGTTTCCTTTGCAGGAAAGATCACAGTGAGATTCTCTTTCATACGTCTCCTCCTAGCCCTGGTGGGCCAGGATCACATTGACCCTGGACATCAAAGGAAGGATTATGTGGCTGCTAAAGCCATCAGCAACAGCAGTGTTCACTTGTTGGGGGTCCTCTTCCCAGAGGCTGGGCTCAGCCAGGCTTGTATAAAAGACCAAGCTTCATAAACTGTCTCCCACACAGCCACTGCCGGCTGCCTCTGACTCCCACCCGCAGGATACAGTCTGCATTGGAGGTGATGGTGTATTAGGCCTCCTGCAGGCAGAGAGTGTGGATGCCACCTGAGGGGCCAGAAGCGCACCACACGCTCGCCCCGGTCCCTGTGATCCTAGAGAACCGTGCAGCTTCTAGGGCTGGCTGCGAACACTGTCCGATGCGTGCCTCTGGATGAATCCCAACTGTTTCTACAGCATTCTTTTAATTCATATGTCTAATACATGTATTTTTCCAAAATATTTGTGCCTTTTTATAAAAGTGCAGGATAAGAATCTGAAATGTATTCATAAAAGTGTAATGGATTTTGTTTTTTATGTCCCTGTTCGTTTCTGAATTTGATTTAAATTTCTATAATTTCTATTTAAAAATAAAGACTATGAGTAAGAGTTCTCTATATTCCAGTGCCTGTTTCCCACACGAGTCTCCTGGTATTTTCAAGTGGTGTCGATGTTAATTTATCAGCCTGCCTGCCCCGCCTTCTGGCATCTACAATGTGATGTTTTAGGTAACATGGAAGTCTGGGGATATCTCTTTCTTTTTCACGTGTTTGATATTTTAAAAAGCCAGAAAATAAACATCCTAGTGCTGTCCAGAGAGAAGGCTGCCTTACTGAGGCTGGAGGAGATCTTAGCGTGGGGTGCCGTCGCGTGACCAGGGTGAGCCAGGTTAGAAGCACTTTCCAGTCCTGCCTGGCACGGGCTGTGCGCGCTTGGCCTGTTGTAGGTGTAGCGAGCGGTGTTGAGGGCCTGACAAGGGGGCCTGCATCTTCAGAGCCCGTACCTGATTGTACCAGTGACTGTCACTTTCAAAATTCCTGGGACCTGCTCTTTACGTTTACATGTGCTTTGCGTATGAGTGTCTGTCTTTTGCAGGCCATATTTGTAGACTCAAAACTTGTTGGATTTGAATCTATAAAAGTACTGCTTTCTGTAAAGACTTGAATAAATGATTACTATAACTCCCTGGTTCTCCAGAACATGTTGGCCTTCCTTTGAAGCAAAGAGGGCTGCTGTCCTAGGTGGGCTTCTCAGAGGATGAGGAAGGAGTGGTGATCCACCGCCAGGGGTTTGCTTTTGGTCTTGTTTTCCTAACGAGTGAAAGCAGTGCTTTGTCTGCATCAGAACCCACTGAACTAAAGCCGAGCTCCTGAAAGGTGTGAGCTTGTGGAGACTGCTGCCCCTGCTTCTCGGGACTCACCAGGGCGGACACTTGCTGTGGCTGCTTGGATCTGGGCCAAGGCTGTGATTAGTCAGAACTGGACTCTGTGTCACAGCTTGGGCTAGAGACTCGCAGGTGGAGCTGGCCCCCAGCCCCAGACATGGGGACCCGGCTGTGCTCATTGCCTCTGTAGAGCAGGTAGCATGGCTGAGCCCCCAGACCAGGCAGTGGTCTGGTCAGCAGATGGGGCGGGTTTGCTGTCGTCCCCCCCCGCCCCTCCCACCCGCCCTGCCTGCCAGCATCTTCAAGAATGTGAGAGCAGTTCTGTTCTCAAGTGTCAAAGCACACCTGTGGGGGGCTCGGGTAAAGATCAACTCTCTACTTTTAAGTGGTTTGTCTGACTTCAAAAGGTATGGCATGCAACACAGAGATGAAGCAGGGTGTGTGGCTGGGCAGGGAGACTTCAGTCAGTGTGCTGTGGGTCACTTTGTCACAGTAACATCTTAAGAGTACCAGAGCCCGCTGTCTGATACTCCTAAGTTGGGTGAGGACGCTGTCCTAGGGAAAGAGCTGTTAGGGAAAAGGCAGTAGTTGTGCCAGGGACCTAACTCCTTGCTGTGAGTCAGGCCTGGGTAGATTGCCTTGTCCCCAAGTCACTAAGTCATAGGTGGGATTCAGACAAGGATATGTGTGACTGGTTTCCCACACTATAGTACTTTTTAGGGACAGTGGAGGCCTGGGCATCTGGGACTTCTGAGAACACGTTTCGAAGCCCTGCATGGGCGTGCACCATTCCCAACCCAGTTCTCTTAAAAAGTTGTGCTGGGAGAGGGTAAGACCTGCTTTGGAAACTTAAACTTGAGTCACTACTCAGTGTTATTATGGAAGGGACAGAACTATCTTCTTGGGATTTGGACACTCGTGTGTGTGAGCATGCATGAACATGCATGCAGGTGCATTATTGATGATTGAACCCACTGATGACATCCCCAGCTCATTTTTTTCAAAGAACAACAAAGTCTTAAAAATAAGGAATGTTTCATGAATTTGCTTGTCATCCTTGTGCAGGGGCCATGCTAATCTTCTCTGTATTGCTCCAATTTTAGCATATGTGCTGCCGAAGCAAGCACCCCAGCTCATTTTTAAGACAGAATCTTGCTGAGCTGCAAGGTTGTCCTTGAACTTGGCAGTGCTCCTGCCTCAGCCTCCCAAGCAGCTGGCATTTCAGCCCAAGGCACACTTACTTTCGTAGCAGCACCATTTCTGTGCCCTTTCTGGCCTCACTCTGCCACCTGCCCTTTCCACTTGTGCCTGACCAACATGCCCTCTTCCTGCCACACCAGGCTTCAGTGGAGCAGACAGAAAGATACTGCCCCATGTTGTAAGAAAGCCTTACAAATGAACAAAATTCCACCAAGATGAGGCTTTCAGAGAAGGGCCCAGGACAGCAGGATGCAGAAATGCCATGAGCGCCTGATTTGGTCAGAAGAAAGGAAATACCAGCTCCTTTGCCTGTCATGATGGTTCCGAAGCCACGTGAAGACTGATCCTGAGCTATCAGCCTGTAGAGGTGGGTCATTCTCAGTCCCCTGTGGCTCCCACCTGCCAAGGGGAAGGAGGCTGTTAGATGGCGCGTGAAGGGACAGTTGTTTATCATCCAGCCTCATGGGCCTAGGGGAGCGGGGTGGCTATACAGATGCTAGATGGGGGCTGCAGGAGCTGTGCGTCAACGTGAATGCCTCCCATGCCGGCCCAGCCGCCTCAGCCCACCAGCCTCAGGCCCAGAACCAGTATTTTTCTAACTCACTGGGTTTGCCAGGTTTTTTAGAAGAGAGAAGGAACTGTCTTGTCCTCTGAGTATATTCCTGGTAATTGCCAAGCGCTGGCCTCCCAGAGGACAAAGGGCAGCTCCTCTGTCCTTCTCTGCACGCAGGGGCCACAGGAAATGGAAGTCTACTCCTTCCCTGAAGAGCTGGCCCAGCAACACACGCTGTCTCCTCCGGAGGCCACCGCACCTTGAAGCCCGTGTCTGCTGCAGCTTTGGGCATGCAGGGAACCTGGCACCAATGTGTGGCTAGGCTTTTTGCAGGGAGGGAGGCCTCTGGGCCTCTGGTGCTGCCCCTCCATCTCCTCTCAGGCCAGGCATGCCCCACCCATGCAGCACCCATCACCCTGGCTGGCTGGGGGGTTTTGGTCAGCAGCCAGGGATAAGGCGAAAGTGCTGGGCACCAGGCAGGAAAGGCAGGGTGGGGTCTGGGAGAGAAACACAAGAGATGATGTCTCTGCTTCCATCTTAGGTGGACCTTATTAGAGAGTGAAGGAATTTTAAAGCATTTACTTTTTATTGACTTTTCCATTGAAAACACTGCACAAATTGTACCTCCCAGCAAGGTGTCCCCAGCTTTCCCTGCAGAGAGGTCACAGGACGACTCTGGCACTGTGTCCCCAAAGTTAAACCATGTTTTAAGGTGAAGAGGAAGCTCTGAGAGGTCAGTACAGATGTGTTCTGGGGCCCCCATATTTCTCTCTTAGCCTTGGTTTATGCCTGGACATTTTAAAGGCCAGGCCAGGTGAGTGGCCAATGGAGACACCTCTGTCCCTGCAGCCATGCCCTTTGCTACTATTGGCTTCCGTGACCACTGAGCGATTTGCAGTCGGGCCAGTTCCTCAGGAGCGCCTGTTTTAGCCCTGCAGCTCATCCTTCTACAGATGGAGCTGACAGCCTGAAACTGCTCCCGTGGGGAGGGTGGCTGCCACGCCAGAACATAGGCAGGAAATGGGGTGGGCAGGGCAGCTTCCACACAGCATCTGGGGTGCCCAGGCTCCCCCCCCAAGCAGGACCACGCTCAAGGAGGGATGATCTTGGAGTGTCTCTGCCTCAGTGAGCCCCTTGGAACTCTTGCTCCTTGGGCGTGGCAGGCTGGGACATCTTAGACCCTGTGCAGTCCCCCAGACATGCCAGTGACTCCATCCTGGAGCCTCCTCGGCTGAGGGTCAGGTCTGTGACCTGAGGGGTCTGGAGGCATCAGAGGGCTGACTGGACCTCCCAGGGCAGTTCTCAAAGGCCTGACTGAAAGCAGCATGAGCTCCTCACCCCCCAGGCCACTATCTCCAGTAGACAATGGCCTGGACCCTCCCTGGCTGGGTTGTGAAGTTTACAAGGTGGAAGGGAGGAGAGGCTGGTTGGGACTATTCAAGGGCAAAGTTTTATGGATCTTTTCCCACCCTCTGGTGCTGTCTGGGAGATGGATCGGCTAATAAGGCATTTCTGTTCCAGTTCAGTGACTCGACTGTGAAAAAAGGGAGGCCACCAGCAAAACGTGGGGCGGAAGGAGGCTACCATAAAACGACAGACATTCCCAGGCCCAGCAGCTGCCAGGAGTTCCTGCCGGGACTGCCTGTGAGCATCCAGGCACCCTGGTGGAGGCCCTTCTGGCCCCTCTTGGAGACTGGGTCCGGAGAGGTTTGAGACTCCCTGGTTCTCAAGTAGGCTCCAGAGGAGAGCTAATGGGGGTGCCAGGCAACAGCATGTTGTGTGAGACAAGGGGACTGACACAGAAACGCAGATATAGAGACCCTCTGACCGAAGTTCCCACCAGACCAGGTACTCACAGAAAATATGCCTGGTTACCATCGAGTGTCACCCAAGGACTTAAAGGGGATACGTGCTAGGGCAAGTGCTCTGAAGACACAGCCCTGCTACCACCCAGCTCCTCAGCCACTTGGCTGCATCCCCCACCAATGGAAGGAAGGCACTGCAGTGGAAGTCGGGGCGGCCCAGACACGCTTGCTTGGAGACTCCTGCCCAAGTCCTCACTGGCAGGCTGCCCACCTGGGAGGTGACAGTCAGGGACACAGTGGGGCTTTACAGCTACCTTTCCAGACAGCTGCTCTGGCTTTTTCTGGTCCACAGGCAGCCTGAGGCTTCCATCTTGTTAAGCCCTTGTTGTGCTCCTGCGCCTCTGCTTGCCCTTCTGCCAGGCCTTGCGGAGCTGGGCTGTTCCCCACAGCCAGCCCACGAGATGTCCTTGCCTGCAGGGTGCTGGCCAGGCTCCAGAAGGACTTCTGTGCCCTGTGGCCTCCCTTGTTGCCAAGGTTGGGCAGAGCATGCCTGAGTCCAGAAGTCCATCAAGGATGATCTCAGAAGGCTTCAGAAGGCAAGGTCAGCAGCATCCTTCCGGGAGACACCACACTCCTGACCGATGAGCGGAGCATGCTCCGTAGGCAGAGTGTGAGTGGTGTTTGAGGAAATGTGAGTCACGGGAGTAGCCAAGCAGTAAAGTAGGAGTGTGCTTTGCCAGTAAGGTGGAAAGCGCGTGCTTACATGTTGAGATGTAAAGAAAAGTCAGCTAAGGGGGAATGACTTGTAGGTTTTAAAAAATCTATTAATTAATTTGGTACAGGGCCTCACTATGCAGCTCAGACTCGTAGTGATCCTCCTGTCTCAGCCTCCCCAGCACTGGGATTACAGGCATGTGCCACCACACCCGCTTTAAGTTTTTATGATTTTTATCTGTTTTAACTAATCTGTTGAAGAGCGAAGTGCAGATGCCTCTGGGCACCCAGAGGCAGAGGCTGCCTTGTAGGTGTTTACTAGGAAGTGCAGAGTTTGGAAGAGGACATTGGTCTTTGGTCTTTCGGAGTAGGGAGGACCCCTCATGTGTCTCCCGCCCAAGTTGCTCCAAAAGCCCAGGCCTGCATTACCCAGGTCGGCGCACGTGGATCCAGCCATAAGGAGCAGGTGACCTTTCTCTATAAACTTCCATGTCTGATGCTGGAACGTGAAGTCCTGGAAGAAGCCATCAAAGCAGCAACCACAGGCCTACTGAAGTGCAGGAATGCAGGCACAGCTGTCTCCTTTCAAAGCTGCAGATGGTGCCTCTGTCCTCGCAGCATTGTTTAACAGCAACCCCCTCTTGGAACAAACAAGAATCTTCCTTTGTGTATTGATGATTACTACATTCTTTGCATAAAAATGCAAACAAATAGAAACAATATGTAAACAAAAAGTTGCCTCTCCCCCTCACCAAGTCCCTCCCGCCCCTCCCTGTAATGAGACCCCTTCCATGGTTTCTACTCCAGTAGACAGAAGCAGCCCTCCCCCACACCCTGCATCCTCCCTCCACATCTGAAAGGACCCCACAGATCTGAGGAAGCTTTCGCGTCTGTATCCCTCAATCATCTCTGGGTTACTCTCAGTGCCTCAGAGTGTAAATGCTGTGCAAATGGGTGCTATACCATTTAGGGAATACTGACGGGAAAAGGACATGTTCAGGGCAGATGCAAATTTTCTCCCAAAGATTTTCCACCTGTGGGTGGTGGAATCCTTGGGTACAGAGCTGGGGGGTCACAGGGACAATGGTATATACACAGGTTCACACTGAGTTTTCCAGGCAGCAGAATCTCAAGATGAACAAAACATGTGTGGGATTCTGCTCCACCTGAGGACGGCTTTCCATTGGCTCTCTTCGCTCAGGTGCCAGATGGCATCAGCGTGACCAAGTACAGGTGACTTGACCTCTCCTTGTAAATTGTATTAATGAGTGGGGTGCGGTGGTAGCAAATCTGTGGCATGCATGCTGTTTTTAAGACAAAGTCTTAATGTATGAGGGGTTTTTTTTGCCTAAACTAAAACCTCCGTATTCAGGTTTACTGACAGTGGTGGTACTTTGTGATGTATAAGTGGGTTTTGAGTTGCTGTTTGGGCGCTCATTTCTAGAAGGTTTGCCATCACTGCGTTAGTGTATGTGAGGTCCTTTTTAAATATTTTTAAGCATCTGCAGTACATGATTACATTCCTGTGGGAGTTGGTGCATGCACATACTAATTCTTTTTTCATCTCTTCCTCCTCTCCCCTCCGTCAGAGCCCGGCTGGAAGCATAAATGTGTGTATTTCCTCTAGTGCTCTTATTTGTCTAACCAGTCTCCTACCAGTGAAGCTCAGCCTGAGCTCCAGTCGGTCACTGAAACACTGCTACAGTAACTAACCCTGGGTGCACCGTGCGCGAATACGTGAGGAAAATGCCAAGATTTGCCCCTTACAGTGGGGCCCCTCAATCTGAAGTGGGGGAGATTCCGAAGTGTAGAGGTGTTTTTTAGAGTGTGAAAACATGTAATTTTTAGAAATTTTATTCAGTGTTCTATGTTATATATAACACAATCATTTCAAGTGTAGAAGTCAGCAGCATTAAATCTAATCACATTATTGTATAACTAACAGCATCAGCTATCTGCAGAACTTTTTTAGCTTCCCAAACTGAAGCCCTGAGTCCCTCAGGCACCAACTCCCTCCCCTCCCTGCCCTTCCCCTCTGGGAGCAGCTAGCTCCTAGCAGCAGGAGGAACATCTAGCAGCAGGCCTACCCACCGGGGCTGTGTCAGAACGCCCTCCCTGTTCAGAGCTGAATGGTACCTCGCGCTATGTGTGGCTGCTTCGTTTACCCCGTTGGCTGCTGGGAGGCCAGGATGTCTTACTGGTCGGCTACTGTGAATACTACGGCCATCAATGTGGATGTCATGGGGCTCTTGGGAGTTCCACTTTCAGTACTGTTGGAGCCCATAAGAATTCTGTTACTGCTTTTAGGATACATTTTAAATTTTAGTATTTGACAACTTGCCCTCCAAAAAGGAGACAGTTGGACTGGTGAGATGGCTCACTGGTCTAAAGCACCTACTTAGAACAAGCTTAGCAAAGCACAAGGACCACGGTTCAATCCCCCAGCACCACATGCCAGCCAGCCCCGCCCCCTGGTGGGCTGAGCTGGCCACACACACACACATAAATAAATTTAAAAAAAAATTAAAAAAAAACAAAAAGGAGACAGTGGTCCCCCTCCCTGTGTCTTTTTAGCACTTCACAGCAGTGTGGTAGTATCAGTCTTCCCTTTTCTAACATGATAGGAAAAAACAACTTGCGTTACTCATAAGGTGTGTTAAATCCTTTTTGAGGCAGGGTCTCTTGCTGAGTTGCCCAGGTGGAATTCAAATTTCGGGTTCTCCTGCCTCAGCCTCCCAAGTGCTGGGATCGCCCGTGTATGCCTTCATGCCTGGTAAACATAACTTAGGGTCTGTGGAAAGCTGTACTTCTCCTATTACTTGTGTGTAGGCTTTGTGCCCCTTTCCTGTAAGTCACATGTTGGTGGCCTCTTTGTTAACCGATTTGGAGATGAAGCACAGAAGGTAGAAAATTAGCTCTTTGTTCTGTGTTTTATAGGGTTTTCCCCAGTTTGCCTTATGTTTGTTGTTTCTGTGTGGCCAGCCTCATCAGTCTCTGCTGTGCTTTCTTAGCTTTGTGCCTTGTACAGAAAGGGCTCCTGCAGCCTTCCTGTCCAGAGCGGGATCTGTTGAGGCTATGTGGAGCCCACATGCGATGCAGCCGAGGCCTTGGGTAGCTCGGCTTGTTGACCCTGTGGTACAGGCAGGGTGTGGGTATGCAGGGATCAGGGCCAGGGCCAAAACAGGGTTCATCCAAACCTGTTTGCAAATGAAATGACAGGGAAATTCTAATTGAATGAGCTTTGATTTTCTCAGCATGCTGTCTTCCCAGAGCAGGAGCAGCACAGTGAGAACCTTCTCAGGAGAAAACTGAGAGACCCAGAGATGGCCCTGTGACACTGACCTTGGGCAAGAAAGGAGGCTTGAGCACTTTATTCTGTAGTTTATTTTGGCCTAAGAAGTAGAGCTCCAATGGTATTGCCCACCTTCTTTCCTCTGCTGACTGCAAGGCATTTATACCAAACTCCTGTCCATATATATGTCACTCAACAGATATTTACTGGGCAGATGATAAGTAGCGGGGGTGAAAAATGGTCAGACTAGGGGGCTTCCTAGTGGATTGGAAAAGGGGATGAGTTGGCCTGCATCACTGGGAAGATGGGGCTGCTGTCAGTGACATGCGGAGTCTGTTTGGGATGTGTCAAGTTCAAAATGGCTGTCAGGACTCTAGCTGGGGATGCCTGACCAGCCACGGTGGATGTTCAGGTCAGTACCCCTGGGGGAGGGGTGTCCCTACTGCATGGAGGTGACACGGAGAGTCACGATAGCATGGAATCCAGGAAAAGTGAGGAGAAAGGAGGAGACAGAGTTCCAAGTGTGGCACTGCAAAGTGGAAGTGGCAGGGAGGGGCAGCAGCTGCTGCAGGCGAGGAAGCTTAGTACAAGCCAGGGGACCAGCGCCCTGCTGGCAGCCTGCAGCAGGGAGTTGCCGGGTCCCAAGTCCCAGTGTGCTGCACCGGGGAAGCCTGGCTTGATGTTGCCGACATCTCTGCCAGCCTCTGCCTGTTCCTGCTCTGTTGCTAAGTGTCAAGCTTTATTCATGGGACTCCAGCTTCTGAAATGGTCTAGGTAGTCTTGCTTTTTGGTTTTTTTTTTGTGTATGGAGACTGAACCATAGGCCTTCACACTAGTGCCGCATTGCCCACCGTTCCCCTTTAAATTTTGAGACATGGTTGCTAAGTTGCCTGGGATGGGCTCAAACTTGTGACCCTCCTCATTGGTAGCTGCTGACCAACCAGCCTAGGGCAGGGCCACTTCCAAGGACCAAGTGCTCTGACACGCTCTCTTCATCATTCCAGTTGACTTTCCACATTTTCTTGCCAAATCCTAGGTGATACCCATTGCTGATACCCCCGAGTTCATCATGTTGTGAATTAGGAAGGGGACACTGAGGTTGTCAACGTGGATCTGAGACCTTCCACTTTTCTAGGCCTCAGTATAATGTTTTCAAGAGCTAAGGAAGGTGTGTGACCGAGGAGGTACAGGCAGCCATGAGGTCCCACTCCACTGGGTCCCTGAACAGGGCGCCACTCAGGCACCATAGTTCCATAGGGCCTGCTAACCCATTTTTGCCAGTTTAGAAAATGGAAAGAACCCACATGTCCAAACTCCCCCTCAAATCTAAGGCAGTTAAGAAGGTAGAGCTTACTAATTTTCAGCATACTCCAGATGAGGCTCATCCGAAAGGCTCTGCCTCTGGTTCTCCAAGGAGGGCACTGCTCTGCACCTTCCTTCTTGTTCCCAGCTGAGGCTTCCTGGGGACCTGGGGACCTGGGGCCCAGCTAGAGGCCTGCTTACAGGGACACCTGCTGGAGGGCACAGTCCCCTTGAGCATCTGCCTTTGTGTTTCCCACCTCCGAACCCTTTGTCAACCTTTGTGTATCTTTGTCAAAATGGGACAAGGCAAAGGGAAAAATTAGTCACCACATCAGTGTCTGTCTTCATGGACAGGTGAAGGGACTCATTCTCTTGGTGGAGCTCAGGGAGAAATGGCGACAGAAATGTCAGCACTCCCAACAGACAGGGAGGGTCCACTGGAGATGGGATTCCCAGGGGAGTTGTTGCCTATAGCCCAAACATCCAAAGCTGGGAAGACCCAAACTTTGTCATGACTGGGAGGCATTCAGACCCAGAGAAGTGTAGAACAGGAAGAAACCTTTCACACGTAGCCTGCACAGAGTCAGAAGTCTGCCTTGCTTTCGTTGTTTGCTGCAAAAGCAGGGGTGCCCAGAGTTCTGGTGAGAGCGACACTCCAGTGCTCATATTTCGCTGTGGATCCCACCTTCACAGGGAAGAATCATTCCTGGTGGCTCTGCCTTTTAGGGATTACTTGCTGCCACCAAGGTAAGCCCTTTTTCTGATGTCCACAGGGCTTGATCAGTTGCTATGGCAGAAACAGGCTGAGTTGCCAATGAAGTAGATAAGTTGCTGAGCTCAAGGGAGCTGCAAGCACGGCTGCAGCCAAGCACAGGGCCATGGGGAAGGTGGCCATGGCAGTAGGACAGAGTCTCAGAGAAAAGGTTCAGGTCAGCAGTGCCTGGCACTTCCAGATTTTTGGCAGATCCATGAACAGTGCCGTACACTAACACAGGTGACTCCCCTAAAGTTTAACCACCTGTCCCTCAAAACATTACTTATTCCTCAAAGAGGAACCAAGGTTCAGAGACTCCTAATACAGAAATCCTAATGGACATAAAAGGTCTTGACTCATTCAACAAACAATATACTGGCTATAGGGTATGATCAATACAAGATATGAGTGAATCTAAAGGAAAAAGATCTTTAGCTGATGTGAATGAATATTCACCTGGAGTTTTCCAGTTGTTTCTTAGGCAATTCCAATTCCCCTCCCATTCCAGGACACAATTGGCACACACACCAACCCTTCCTGCTGGTTCTGCCACAGTCCTGGGCTGCTCCTGGTATGTCACTTGGCAGCCATTTCCAACCGGAGCCCCTTGATGGTAGTGAATATCAGCACACAAGGCAGAGACCAGAGCAGGACTGGTGTTTTTTTCACAGCGTGGTACTATCCTCAGCAGGGCTGCCCTGCACTGTACCCCAAAGGCCTGTCAACCCCACTTGTCCTGGCTGGCTGGGTTGGCAGGTTGGGTATAAAAGAAAAGCTGAGGGATCCTGACTCCTGCATGAGGAATTTCTTAGGGAAGCAAGGCAGTGTTGTTGTCTTAGAGCTCAGGGGTTGAAAGGAAACGTCAATTAACGTTATGGAAAAGGGCTAAGCTGATCAGGGGCTCAAGATCAATTTCTTTGTCCAAACACTGTCAGGTGATAGTTAACATTCTTGCTTGATATGTGTCTGAAAGGAGACAGAAGCTGTTCTCCTTGAGTCACTCTGACTGACATCCAATGCTGGCCAGGCAGAGAATGCTCAAGGCACAGCAGCCCCTAGTAAGTAGGCTTACGTTGGGGCTAAGCTGTGTGGCTTCTCCTTTTGTGAAAGACACACCACCAATCATCCCAACCTGTATGCTGCCTGAGCCTGAGATGTGTACAGCTCCAAGGACTTAGTCCGCCAACCTGGAGCCACAGGCAGGAGGGGGCCCACCTATCATCTATGGAATTGGCAAGGCTGACACTCGTAAGTCCCTCAAGCACCCATACGGTCCACACTTCTTGCTAGACCTGAGCTCGCAGCTCTTGAAGGAGCTCTCTGGCCAGTTTTGCTGGCCTAGGGGCTTCAGTGCAAAGATTGTCCCATCTGTATAGGGTCTGGTCGAGAAAGCCGATGATCTCCTGAGTTATTGCATCAGTGCGGGCCATCTGCAGTGAGGGAAACGAAGGGAAATTAGAACATGTTCCAGGAGATTCCTCTGTGTCCGTTGGACACCCATAATCATCCTGTCCGGGAAAGCCATAGCATTTCCATTTCCACTGGCTCCAAAGGGAAGTTCCCAGGGCCAATGTGCTGTCTGTGAGCTGATTAGCACAACAAATGCATTCGCAGAGGCCGGCTGCACTGTGAGCCATGCACAATGTGGTGACTGCCATCCCCACATCAAGGCTGTGCAGCCAAACTCTTGGCTCACAGGGTCAAACTGGTGCTGCAGAGGCAGAAGTGTTTCTGAACTGTCACCCACAACTTTTGAGATTATTTGTCCTAGGGAGCAAAGGCGGAAAACATGCTGTGGCCTGATTTTCTGCAAAAGGCTCACAGTACAAAAGGTGACACTACCCTGAGAATTGCGAAGTACCACCTGTTTGCACACACAGCTTGACCATGGCATTCCTGGGCAGCAAGCTGGCCCACTCGCTTTTCAAAAGATATCTAAGATTTGAACACTTGATTCTTTCAGAGAAGCAGGAAATAGGCATTGTTAGTTGTGTGAAATATTTAAGGGCTTATTTGTTGGTGCCCATATTTTTCTAATGTCAGTTGAGAAAAAAAGAGGGGAGAGAATCTCCCAAGTTAGCCTATGCATGGAATTTACTGGTTTTGGGGGAATGGGCGCAAACAGCATTAAGAAGTCCCAGGTTTATGGAAGAGTAATCTACGTATTTGTGTTTGTTCATATTTGTGTGTCTGTTCATATAGAACCAGTATTCAGCCAGAGCACCCCAGGTTAGTTTCTTCCTGTTCTCTGCTTCCTCTGGGGTGACTACCACTTCTGTGGAGCACTCTGAGGCAGGGAAGGTGGCCAGAAGGCTCTAAAGGGACAGTGACTCTGCTGGAACCAGGGCAGCTCAGTTGAGGGTAGATGCCAGGCATGGGCTCGGAGGTGACTGCACACTCTCTGAGCTCACAGAAAGCTGTGTTGGTGTCCTGAGATGTGACACCTGGTGCTAGGTGGTCAGACCAGGACTCAGCAGGGAGGAACCAGCCAGAACCGTGCAGTGAGGAGAAGCCCAAGGGTGGAGGAGCCACCTGCCCAGGGCATGTTGGCAACTGTAGCTAGGTCTCCTTCCTAGGAAGGCATGTGTGTTAGTAAAGGCATGCCACACATCTAAACAGATGTAACCTAGGGCATCTGGCTGCAGGGGCCCAATAAGGGGTATCCTGCTGCTGTGGAGAGAAAAGTCTCACTTCCTTTGGTGGGGTTCCCCTCTGAGCTCTGCAGCTGAACAGCCTTGTGAGAGCCTTGGAGAAGCTGCAGGGTCCTTGCACTCCTGAGCCCCATGCTCAGTCAGCAGCCAGGTCAGCAGGTCAGCACTGCTGTGTGTGGGGAAGCAAACTAAGCCTAGCTTCTCTGTGGGTGACCACTGTCCTGGTCACCTTGCATGCTGATGCTTTTCCCAACTAGCTGAAACTGACTGGAATAACTGAGGCAGGGCACCAGTGTCTAAAAGGAGCCCTCTCTCACCCTAGACAGGGGCTGCAGCTACTCACAGGGTGACAGGACAAGGTTGGAAGTGGGGCAGGAGGGCACAGGGAGTCATGCCAGCAGGAGGGTCGAGGTTCCATCCACATCCCTTGTCCATATTGACATTTATCACTGAAATGTCTAGCTTCCTTTCACTTTGATGAATGTCATGACCATTCCTCAGACTTTCCTTGTTTTGATGACCTTGATCGATGGTTTTGAGGCATATTGGCAGGACTTTTGTTGATTGTCTCTCAACTGGAGCTCATCTATTATTTTTCCAATGAGACCTAGGCTATATAGGTTTTCAGGAAAAGACCACAATGATAAAGTGCCTTTTTTTTTTTTTTTTAAATGTATTTAGTATAGGGTCTACAGTCTCACTACACAGATCAGACTTGTAGTGATCCTTCTGTTTCTAGCCTCCCAAGTGCTGGGATTACAAGTGCACGTCACCACATCCAGTCTCCCCATCTCAGCAAGTTCTGGGGGTGGAGACGGTACGGCAAGCTAGGGATTGAACCCTGGTCCAGGTGTCTGCCTAAGCAGGAGTCTTTTTTTTTTTTTTTAAAATCATATTGTATCCTGGTTCACCCTTGAAAACAACTCAGCCCTAAGGAATGTTAACTTCCACAGTCTAAAGCAGCTATTATGACTTCATCAGAAGAGTAGCAGGTACTGATACTATGTTACATGGACACTTTTACCTCTTAAGTACAGAGATTTTTCTTATTTACAACTTTCTATTCTGCATTGCTTTGTGTTGCAATTTGTGCCCCCCACCCAGGTATATAAATGTATATGTGTATGTATACACACACACACACACACACACACACACACACACACACACACACAAAAATATATACATATCATGAAAAGGTTACCATAATTAAGGTTATTAACACATTCAGCAATACCTCAAACAGAAGTTTGTGGGGGAAGGTATGGCTATGTGTGGTAAGAATGCCTAAGATCTTTTCTTGGCAAATTTCAAGTATCAGTAATTAATAACTGTCATCATGCTGTATGTAGGCCTCCAGAATATACTCCTAACTGCAGGGCCACACCCTTCTGCCCAGATCTCTTTGCTTCCCTTCTCCTGACTCCTTGCGCAGAGTCTCCTTTCTGTTTTGTTTGACTGTTCTAGGTTCCACATACAGGTGCGCTCATGCAGAATGTGTCTGTTGTGTCTGGTTATGTCACTTAGCATCATGTTCCCCAGGCTCGTCTGTATTACCGCAGGTGTCCACCCGATGAGTCCACTTCCGGAGTGCCCGTGTGGGGTCCAGGGCCTGGCAATCCAGTCCCCTTCTGCTCTCTACCAGCCCACAGCCTGCTCCACACCACTATCTTATCAGGGCAGCACCAGTCTTGGACACTGGTTTTCTCCAGTTCTTGGCAGGTCCTGGGACTTTCCTTGCACTCACATTCAGACAAGATGGGGCCTCAGTGAATATTCCTTTCTTGATGTACTTGTTGACCACATGGGTCATTTGCATTTGTAAAAACTCATCAACTGTACATTTTCTGTATTTATGTCAATAAAAATTAAAAACAAAACCAAATATAAAACTCCCAGAGCCAGCAATGTTCATACCTTTTTAAAATATGTAATATGCACACAATTTGCAATCTAACCATTTTTACAGTCCAGTACTGTGGTGTTCACATTGTTGCATAACCATCACTATCATCCATCTCTAGAACTTTTTTATATTCCTAAACAGAAGTTCTATACCCTTAAGGCCACTAACTCCTTATCCACCAAGCCCAGCAAGTACTTTTGCTTACTATGAATCTGACTGCTCTGTTCCTCTTGAGTGGATTCATAGTGTGTGTGTGTCCCGTGACTGGCTCACTTAGCGCTGGCTTCTGGGTGCATGGATCTCACAGCACGTACCAGCTTCTTTCCTCTCTACGTACACAGCTCACTTTGTTTACCCTCGCATCTGTTGCTGGACAGCTGGGTTGGCTGTACCTTTCTGCTACTCAGTATAATGCCGCTAAGAATACTGGTGTACAAATATCTGTTCAAACCCCTGCTTCCAGTTCTTCCAGGTATATGTGTGGGAGTGGAGTTGCTGTGTCCTGTGGTAGTTCCATGTTTAACTTTGAGGAACCACCAAACTCCTCCACAGTGGTGGCACCATGCTAATACTCCCACCTGGAAAGGGAGGAGCATTCCAATTTTGGTACAACTTCAAGATTTATTTTCCTTTTCCTTTTGCTGATAATAGCTGTACTGATGGGTGTTAAGGGAGTCTCAGTAAGGACTTGATCTGCGTTTCCCTAATGACCAGTACTGACAGTCAGTTTCCTTTTGTTGCGTTGGTGTCATGCATGCTGTCACTGGATTAGAGCACTCTTTCCCCTTGCGGTCACGTGTGTTTCAGGAAATGTTCCTTTGTGATTAACTGATTTTTCCTTGAACTAAACACAGAGGTCTGTTCTTGCCATGATGAGCACTGTGGCTGCTTGTGGAGTATGCTTTCACTAGAGCCTGCATCTGTCCCATGAGAAGGAGTAGATTGTGCTCTGTGACGAGGGACAGAGTCTGGCATGGGTCCTGGCAGTAAGCCAGGTGGCCTGCAAGGTAATGCTCCTGGCTCTGTGCCTTCCCCTTATCCTCCTCCCTGGGTCCGTCTCAGCTGTCACCATCCCTGGCCCTTTACCCACGTGGGGGCAGCACTCCAGGCACATGCTCTCCAAAGCCAGGATCCTTACAGCTACCCACCCTGTCACCTGGGTGTAAGTGTCAACTGTGATCAGATGATAGGAGGACACTTACCAGGGTGATGGCTTCCCGGGCAACTGTGTGGCCTCCTGGAGCCCAGAGCAGGAAGTTCAGGAGCAGGTGCCTGATGAGCTGTCCACACACAGGCTCTCCAGTGGCTGCCTGCAGCTCCGCAGCAGAGAGGGAGGCACTTCTGGACAGTGTCAGAAGATGGAGGCGGCTTAGCACTGCCTCTGCCTCCACCTGGGCAGAGGTGGAATCGAAGATGAGAGATTAGGAAGATCAAGGATACAGAGGCCTCTAGGGCAGTGACGACAAACCTTTTAGCACTTCTGATGGTATACATTGAGGTGTGCCATAGGCTTGCCACCACTGCTGTAGGGTTTGCTTAGGCTTAGAAGTGGGCTCCAGAAAGAGGAGCAGCTAGGGCTCCACAGAGGGTGGCCGAGGCCCAGTTCACACTCTGCTCTGCGTAAACCTGAGTGGGCAAGATGGAAATTTCTTGACTTTCTTTTTGTCTTGCTCACCAAGCAGCCAGGGCACCATGCCAGGAATTGACCTTTTTCATAATGAATGGAAACAGAAAAGTCCTCCACAGAATGTAGTCAGATTTTTTCCTACATTATGGGAAAAAGAACAAAAGGTTCCTTGAATACTTGCCTCACACTAGACCACAAATCAATTAGAGCACGGTGGCCTCAGCTGTGCTGGTTTGGGGAGGGCCATATGGGCCTGCCTCTGCCTTGCCTTGCTGTCTTGGGATGGACACACACACACACACACACACACACACACACACGGCCTGTTTTGTTTTGATTCAGACACTGGGACAATCTGTTCATACATGTTTAAAGCTCAAGCAGAGGTCACAAGTCTGTGGAATTCATATAATAATGGTAATTGTTCCAAGACTGTGGGTTGTTTTTACATAAAAAATATTTATTTCATGCTGAGACTGCTTGCTGTAAGAACGGTGCATCAAGTTGTGACTTGGAGAACAAAGCAAAAACTGAAAGCCATAGATCCAGAATGCCACATGGATTTCGTAACAGCTATATTCTATCACTTCTGAAAGAATACTTAGTCCTGTTCTAAGAGTTCCCATGACCAGAGCTGCTTTTCCCCTGGAAGTGAAGGCCCTGCTCCATGCTGTCAGTCACAGTGGCAGCACACTAGGGTGTTGTGTGAGCCCTGTGGACCACAAGCGAGGCTGTGAGAAACACCACCATGGGCACTCCCACGAACATAGAGCATTCCTGTTCTGGGCCTGCTGCCTTCAGCTGATGGCATCTGTGATCCATATAATCAGGTCTGCAGAGTTGCTTTATGTCTACTTCCTTCTTCACTGGCTTTTGGTTTTTCACGCTTGTCCATAGGGCCTAAGAATGATCTTCACTCTTTTGTCCTGGACTGATATTCTTGCTAATACCTTCCATGTCCAGAAGCTTCTACATGTTTTCTTTTATAAAGTACTACTTTTATTGTACATTATAAAATTTAAATATGCTCACAATGGGAAAAATTATATAGAGCAAAAATTTAAATGGTCTATAACTTTGTTATCAGAAGAGTTGCTAACACATTAATAATGTTTTTTTTCCTATGTGTTGTGAATATACCACTCACTAGGCTTGTTTTGTACCTTATTTTTCTACAGTAACATTCTCCAATGACATTCAGTAGTAGTTTGTTTTTTTTTTCTTTTTCTCCTGGTAGAAAGCTATTCTAAGATTAGGAAATACACACCCCCTTTACTATTAAAAATTTAAACTGTTTCCAATATTGCCAACAATAAACAATGCTGTAATGACTATTCCCATTCAAAAATCTTTGTATAGATTTCTATTTCTTTAGAAGGAGTCCTAGAAGTGGAATGCCAGGGTTCAAGGTTTGAATGTTTGCCTATGTCTTAATGGTATCTAAACAGACATTTTCAGGTCTTCCTCATGTTCCAATACATTTAGCAAAGGAAATGAGCATTGCAGCAGAGGAGGTGGCCCTCAGTCCTGGGTGGCCCAGCAAGGGCGCCCTCTGTACTGGATCTTGCCCTGTCCTCCCTGTTCCTATACCAACTGCACCTCAGTTGGAGCAGAGTGACTGGCCATTGATGGGCATTCCCACAGGAGTGGCTTCATGAAGCCTTTTAGGTAACACCAAGGCCCAGGTATGCCCAAGGTCCATCCAGTCACAAAGTGATCACACTTTTTTTTTTTTTTTTTTTGAACCGGGGATTGAACTCAGGCCCTTGTGTTTGCCAGAGAAGCGCTTATTCTACTGAGCCATCTCCTGGCCCCTGATCACACTTTCTAACGCAGGTCACAGAGTGTGATGAGGTCACCTGACCAGCAATATTTATTACGCGTATTTATGACTAGCTACCTTGGTGTGCTTCCTCATGGGATGTCACACACACCAATGCCTGAGGTCAGGCACCAAGGAAGAAGCAGCTTTACATACAGACACAGCCCTGGCTTTAATCATGGACAGATAGCTGCCTCTGATGGGACAGCCAAGAACTATTGGAAACAAATTAATCCACTTTTATTCAAGATTCCTAAGCATCTTTGCATTTCCTGAGTAAGAACTATGCATAAGTTTATTTAAAGAAATACGAAGCATTAATGCAATCCCTATCAGACTACCACCAACATATCTCACAGACCTAGAGAAATCATTCCTAAAATTTATCTGGAACCGGAAAAGACCTAGAATAGCAAAGACAATCCTGGGCAATAAAGACAAGGCAAGAGGCATTACAATTCCTGACTTGAAATTATACTACAAGGCTACTGTGATAA